AGTTTTGGATGAGGTGACCATTATGATTCCTCACAGAATCGGAGATAAAAAAGAAAATAACAGAATCACACAAAGGCACCCCCCTTTAGACCCCTTTAGCCCCGTTAAAACCAATTTATAATTTTATACCCCCCTCCCCCCCCCTTGACAGCCAACTCGCAAAAAATGAAATGAGCCCGGATTTGGAGTCCTCTGATAGAGCACAGAAAACCAAAAAAATATTTATTATTATTATTATTTTTTTTTTTTTTTGCATGCCCGGGTACCCCGGGCGTCACGGGGCGTCACGCCCGGGTGCCGGGCCGGGCAGGACCGGCCGGGCGTGAGAATCTTCCTAGAATAAAACTAAGAAAAGGAAAGAAAGTTATAACGCCACTGCTGCCATACGTCGCCGGGTCATCATGAACTAAGGCGAGAGTCCAAATCAGCTAATAAATCCGACGTACGACTTCCTTTTCTTTTACTTTTCGTTTTTCTCTTCTTCCCATTTTCCCTAGCCTTCTTCTGTCTGACAGTGATCGCAGAAACCCATGCATCCAGCCCATAACCTGGCTAAAGGGACTCTGCGCGCTATAGGAAAAGACCGCGCTGGTCCTTCAGCTTTCGCGTCCCTGGGCGAGCCCAGCGGCTACCACGACCACAGGCCGGTAGTGCTCTGATGTACAGCAGGGCGCCGAGCCTGCGTGGACCAATGGAAAGCCCAGTGGCGCACCCCCAACCTTTTGCTAAGGTGCACGCCAACGGGACCGGTCCATAACAGGGCACAACCCAGGTGTACCAAGAGAACCACGGAGGTTCGGAAACAGCCCGACGAGCCACAGGCTTCTGAGCAGGGCGCTGGTACCGAGCAGGAGCCTGGCACACAGAGGAGGGCCGGGACACCGCGCCCTCCGACAATGGTCCCCATTTTGCCAGCTCAAACTCCAGATCATCTGTATCCTGATTGCCCTGATAGAGAAAAGGCAGCTCAGCCTGTGTTGCGTACTTGTGAGTACTTCAACAAGTATGGGCAGAACCAAGAGATGAACCAATATAGGATGAGCATGTATGCAACGGAAGTCTGATAAATGGACCGACTCACATAGACTGACTCACACACATATCACTCCACACACAAACAATCGTGAGATGGTGGGGTCTGAGCCAATCATAGACGATCCTCAGGCCCCGTACACACATACACAGATGAAAGGTGGGAGGAGAGACGAAGGAGGTGGGAGATGTAGGTAGCGCCAGATGTCACCGAGATAGAAT